AAAAAAAAAAAAAAAACCTGAATTTCTAAAGTTTCTATTTCCTGGAACAAAGTTTCTAGGCCAAAGGCCCCAGGGGACTTCACGGTTCCTAGGGCCACTACTCATGTGAGCGGGCCCTTGGGCCATATGTGAACAGTCTGAGTACCAAAGGCCAGCACAGTTCATCCGAGATGATGAATTCATTCCCAGTCGGTTAGCATTATCATGCATAGAACTCTCATAGGAGGCTTGTGGACAGGGTTTGCTTTTTTTCTGGTGTGTGTCTGCCCTGTACTTTGTGCTTATAGAGCTGAAGAGCTGGCCCAGCAGTTAAGAGCACTGGCTACTCTTCCATGTGATCCAGGTTCAATTCCCAGCACCCGTAGGGCAGCTTCTAATTGTCTGTAACTCTGGTTCCAGGGCATCCAAAGCCCTCTGCTGGCCTCCTAGGGCACCAGGCAAACAAATGGTGCGTGTGCGTGCGTGTGCACGCGCACACACACACACAGAGGAAAAACACCAACCAAAGAATTGAAATGAACTGAGCCCCATCCCTCACACCAGAACCTGCCTCTGTCCTAGAAGATCGGATGCCCACTATTTAGGCCACGTGCCCTGTCTGAAACTCTGGCTGAATGCACACTGATCTTGAACAGCCATCATAGTTACATCTTGTCACAACCCTTCTTTAATAAAACTCACTTCAGCGGAGCCCTGTCAGGAAACCCCGGATGCTGCCGTCTGTCATTGACAGGAGTCGTGTCTACCCTATACCCCGAACTAAGGCAGGATGGGAAGACAGATGTCTGAACCCTGTTCCTGGCGGTGCCAGTACGGGGAGACGTCTGCTGTTGATGGGGGTGGGGTGGGGTGGTGTACTACCCCATAAGCACACCGTCCTGTACCTGGAAGTAGAAGGTCTGGATGGGCTCCCCATCCTGGTCATAGGCAAATGTGCCAAGAAGTGTCCCTTCCTGCTGCAGGTCTTCATCAAAGCCCTGCAGAAAGCATACAGGAATGGGGGGTCAGGGGGGCCCCCACACTCTCACAGCTGGTGTCCTTCATCGCAGCCTCAGACAGCTACACAGGAGGGCCAGGGCCTGAACCCCCTCACTGCCAGAGCCACCCAAATGTGACTCTCAGCCAAGACGCCCTCCCCCTTTTATCCCCACACGGAGCAGGTACTCACAAAGATGGCGAAGTCCTTGGGAGCACTGGAGATGGTGCTGTTGGGGGACAAGGCCTTGGGCACATGCTCTAAGGTGACAGCTGTGGGGCGGATGCGGGCAGAGAGACGGACCACAGCAAAGCCCTGAGGCCCCTGGAAGGCCCAGCAGTTGCCTGGGTGCACATCTGGCTGAGAGGGTGAAAGGCATGTCAGCTGAGGGGCTTCAGTACAGGCCTGGCTAAGACGGGGGCATCCCCCACTGTGTTCAGAGTGCACTGGGACCTCACAGACTACCCACCTGGAGAATGACTCGGGGTGACTGGGAGTGGTACCACAAGGGGATGCCGAAGAGGCTGAGGAGGGCCGTCTTTGTCTCGTAAGTCTCGGAACACCGGGTACTGATAACACTGGCTCCTGTCCCAGGAAAGAAAGGTTTTTAAACTCACAGTGGGGAGGCCCAATAAGTTCCGGGGGTTCCAAGACGGAAGAGCTGTTGCCTGTCTCTGCACAGAGCATGGAGACAAGTACCTGGAGCCCAGCCCTTAGTTCTAACCTAGAGTCACAAGGCCTCTCCCAGCCAGGGATGCCACTCAATGTCTCATGGCTTCCCTCAGCTGCCTCTGGCCTTGGTTGGGAGTCCAGGTTGGGTGTCTGGTTGGCACTGGCCCCCAAACCCTGGCTGCTTAGCTCTGTGCTGCCTGGCAGACTCAGGGCCTAGCCATTGTGAGGACCTAGGGAAGGCCAAGCGGTGAAGGCAGCAGCAGACACACCTCCTGATTCCAGGGCGTAGTCTACCATCCCAATCCGGTCCTCACTGTAGCGCTGCAGGGCCTGCTTGACGATCCGGTGCACCTGCTAAAACAAGTCCCGAGGAACAGAGGGGAGGTGAGTGGGCACAGACATTGCATGCATACCCACGGACTGCCCCTACTAGACTGGCACCAGTGGTACCCGAGCCGGTCTTGTGCACCTCCACCACCCACACTTGGCCTGGACATACACCCAAACCTCCAGCCAGGAGGGTCCATCCTTATGTCCTAGAACATGTGAGGAGCTGGTAGTGTAGGAGGGTTCGGGTCTACAGCTTCCAGGGAGGAAAGCAGTGTGGTGCAGGGTAGTCACCCCTTACCTCCTCGGTCACCCCGACCACGCCTTCTTTCTGCAGTGT